TTTTTTTTACCAAACCTCAAATTTTATAAAAAATAGAGCTGCAATGTACAATGGATGCCACAAAATGGTTACAGAACAAGGAGGAACTGTAAGAGCTTTCTTGAGACCTAACATCTTGTCTTTCTTCTTCTGAATGCTGTTAAATTCCAGCCATTCATGTCGAGTTCTGAAACGATCTTTCTTGCTTAAATATCCAGGAATTCCTCGTTTTCCACATCCACCGTAGAATATAGGTAGTCAGATATAGTGCTTCTGTTTAGGTTTTCCACATTGTCCTGCATGCATGCTGCAAAGGCTTTCCTCAAAATGGATTTATCTCCTGCAAAATGACAAATATGCTTGAAATTTGTGTTTTAACGAGCTAGACAAGAGAAATGCAGAGAGTAAAAAATTAAAACTGATGAGAAAAAATAAAATATTTTCTTTAAGATTTTGAATTGATGTAAGATGAATATATAAAATTTAAAATTGATAGTATTATATAAGACTAATAAATGATCAATTATTATATTTTAATTCTTACTTTAAAGTGAACCAAACGCATGTTGATGATAATATTAATGGTCAGATTTTAATGTTTTCTAGTTTGTCAAGTATTGTATATTAGACATAAGTTATACTCAATTTCGTTCTATAGTTGATAATAATTTCAGCAAGCGTTGAGCTTAAGTGGTAAAATCTCACGCTTGGAAATTTTATTTAGCAAAAACTCATGCTTCGGAGTTAGGCTTGGTATAAATTAATATTTTTTATCTAAAGAAAATTAGACTTAGATTTCATTTAATGTCTATAGTATTCACACTAAATCTATTATTGATTTTTTTTTTCTCAACTTCTACAAATAATTACCATAGATTATGTACATTTTATTTCTTACATTACATTTCATTTTATTATTTAAGTCATACGTAAATTATTATAAATGTTTCTTATTCTTATTTTTATAAAATATATTTTTTTGTTTCATTTTTTACGTTTCATATATTCATTAAATCAATCATATCGATTTGAATATATCAATCATATCGGTTTCCTTCTCAATATTTCTCTATGATATTCATATTTTACTCATTTCGAAGATGAAATAATATGACATTATTCTTTTAAAAATTATATTTATTTCAATTCTAATTAGTATGTTATCAATCTAATAAAAATAAATTATTATTTATCTAAATTCAAAGATTACATATAAGGTTAGAAAACAGTGAAGCACGGCCGACAATTGATCTATTAGGCATCTAATTAAGTGTAAAAAAAATCTATTTTACTTAATATTCAACAAATACATTCTACAGTAATGCATATACATATCACCATATTATTTCTATTTATTTAAGATTTTACTATAGATATACATATCACTATATTATTTCTATTTATTTAAGATATATATTTTTGTACGCATGTAATAGTAAATAATATGATATTTTTATATAATATAAGTAAAAAAGTTCAATATGAGTTGACATTTTCATTTAATACACGGAGTGTTTAAACACTACGAATACAAAAATATAGTTAGAAAATTTAACTAAAACCCAAAGTAATGTTTTATATAAAATTAATTTATTTTTGTTTTAAATATTTTTTCTAATAAAAGGTTTAATATTTTATACATATGCTTCTTAATTCAACACATGTGTAATAGACGGATATTGTACTAGTAAAATTTTAATTCAAACTCTAATAGTCATCCACCCCATTTTAATCTTCATAAATAATATTAATATAATTAAATAATATAATCCAATCATCACTATACAAAAATTCCAACAAAATATACTATTTATCAACACATATTTATAATCAGTTGTCATTCACAATCATTATTTTACTACTTATTTCTACATCATTACATCAATTTTAATTATTACATTTTAACTCTTATCAACTCACAAACTCGATATTAAATCCAAATATTCGCTCAATCAACTTCTTTCAACTTTAATTCATTTTATTCAATAACTCGAATTCGATATAAGAAAATCTACTTCCAATAGCTTTAAATATTTTTAACATTGGGCATCATTATACATGAGTTATATTCAATTTTGTTTCATTGGAACTTCTTTATGGTATCTATGCAGGAAAATTTTAATTTCACAAATATTGTGGAAAAAATGCAGCTATATAAAATTATACACCCAACGTGCTAAGGAGGATTCTTTCGGTTAATTTTTAAATTTAGCACGAGCACAATTAAAAATGAAATCCCAATTACCAAATTAGTTAAATAATTAAATGGTATCCTTATCGTGGATAGATATAAAATAAAAGTTAATTGGTGAGATTTGACATGATATACTATTGGGTGATCTTAGAGGTTCCTTACAGAACTATTTCGTCGGAGTTTATAATCGTTGGATCATCATGTAACCGTTGAAGATAGTTGATCTAACGATTACAACACTACAAGAAAATGATGAAATTCCAACGGAAATATATTTCAAAAGAGTTATTCCAACGGGTATTTCAATACTATTATTTCTGTTGGAATTTTTTAATGGATTCCAATGGAAATTCCAACGAAAATATTCCGTTGGAATGAGTTTTCCATTGGAATTTTCATTGGATTTTGACGATTCCAACGGTGGATTTTCCAATGGGGTGGAAAAAAAAATTCCAACGGAATTTGCATATTCCAACGGAAATTCCTACGGTAAAAAACCGTTGGAAATATAGCCGTTGGAATCATCAAATTCCATCTAAAATTACAATGAAAAACACATTCCAACGGAATATTTCCGTTGGAATTTCTGTTGAAATTATTCCAACGGAAGCTATTCCATTGGAATACCCGTTGGAATTTCCATTGGAATATATTACTATAGGATTTTCCGTTGGAATATAACATTTATTTTGTAGTGCAAATTCTTACGAAATAGTTCCGTAACGAGACCGTAGCATTTCTCCATACTATAACAAAACACTAAAATATACAGTGATTGATAGATATACATATGAAAGTGAATAATTATATAATCTTTTTATTTAAAAATATTGAATAATGATTGATTATTTTCTTATAAATTATGTTGATGGCATTGTAAATACATAAAATATAAATAACAAGTGAGATGATTTTTTCTCATTTCAATAAATCAGTAGTACAAATAAAGAAAAAATAAAATAAAATCACACATTCAAGCAAGTTGATATATAGCATGGGGATTTTGGAGATTGCAACAATTAAACTCACATTATATGAGTAATTATTGAAGCAGCCTCATCACATGGCATAGTTATAATAATGTTGGAAATTAGTAGTACATAAACTAATTATATATAAAAAAAAAATATATACCTTTATATAGTTGTTTGCTTGTGCATCACATGAGCTGTTTACAAATATTAACAAATATTAATTTACAGTAAATAAATTAAGTAAAAAAATATTATTATTATTATGAAAATGATAAATATTTTTTTAGGGGAAAATAGGGGTTGACAAAGCATTAGTGTACAAAATAATTGTTAACGTTTGACTAGACGTTGGTTGTAGATGTTCATAAATTGTAATAAGATATGGTTTGATTTTATTTTATTTTCTAACTGGTTGACAATGGACAATGTCAATTAGATTTATGTAAACATTTAATATAATATGCATAGACTATTTATAAATTGTGTGTTGTTTTTCAGAGATAAGAATATCAAAAAATCCAAAATGGTTTTAGTAAAATTAGATGGGATGTGAGTAGATGTGGCAACAGTTCGAACCAACCTAACCAAGTCCGTTGACCGCAGGATTTGAACCGGTCGTGGGAATACCCGAATCGGTTCAAGTTCACATTTTTTTCACAATTTGAAACTGTCAGTACTGTTTTGTACCAGAGCTGATAACGCAATCAGCTTCTCGACCAATTTAAAACTTTGCCGAAATTCAACTTGTCATTGTTGATAAATGAGCTCAAACCAACTTTTTGTAAATACTTCAAGTTCGAGCTCTTAAACTTAAGTCGCCATATTCAACTTGACAATGTTGATACACGGGCTCAAACTCAATTTATCGGGTTTGTTTAATTAATTATAGCTCGACTCCACGATTCAGGAGTTCGCGCTGAGCTCTTGTTTAAACTTTTATGACAATCCTTACTTATATGACAATCTTTAAGGATAATTGGTAAGTAATTATAATCAGTAAAAATCAATTTTCATTAAATCTTCAGTTAAAGCGACTTATCTCGAATAAAATCACTTGATTGAGATGAGAGAGATGAATCAACTTTAAAATGTAATAATTAAAATATTTGAGTTGATTAATAGTGAATTAAAATTAATATGATATAGAAAAACAATGATTAATATTACTTGATTATTATAGTAGTGGAGTTGAACTAAATATATTTAAATTTGAGTTAACATAAGTTAAAAAGTTCTCATGGATTATAATGGTTTACAAATGAGCAGAAATTCTATGACACCACATGTGACATTATATTATGGTGCCACAACATGATGTGGCACATTATGATTGGTGTGTCAACATGATGTGTGATAAAAGAAAAGTATGGACATTAATTCTGAAGGTATTTGGACCATATTATTGATGTGACAAAAAAAAAAATCTTATATGTACAATTCCATAATCATATTTTGAAATAGTTTCCACATTGAAAAACTATGCTTTAAATAATAATGAAAAGTGCAAAGTTTATGCTAATTTTATTAAAAAAATATATAACGAGCGATTGACTCTAATTATGGGAAGATACTATGTTCCCGTTACGAAACTATATCTAACGGTTATATGATGATTTAACGGTTAAAAACCTCGACGAAATAATTTCGTAACGGAAACGTAACATTTCCCAAAATTTATGATTTTGAATAGGAAGCTCATAATTTATGAAAGTGGGAATACGAAAAGGACTTGCAAATTCAATGCAAGTACACCGCAATATCTATCACTGCCAATTAAAAAAGAAAAAGAAAAGAAAAACAAAAATAAAAATTACACAAATTTACACTCAATTCACAAAACTTTTTCTTTTTACACTTTACCTGGTTAATTTTGATTTTTTTTACACTTTGACATTTTCGGTCACTGTCGGCCTTATAAACTAATATGTGGCTTTAGTGTCTTACTGCCACGTGTTGCCGACTGTGACCGAAAATGACAAAATGTAAAAAATTTAAAGTTAGATAGACAAAGTATAAAACAGAAATTGTAGACAATTTCTGAATAATTAGATAGACAATGTGTATTTATTCCAAACAAAATTAGTAGTAACAAATTTCATCCCCACCAGCTATAATAATGGCGAGAGAAAAAATTGGAACAAGAGCAAAGTTCGCTGTTTTATTGTCCGTTTTTTTCCTTTTCCTTGTCACCTTCGGATCTATGATTTGATATAAACCAAGCGAGCCTATGAAAAAGAACAGGAAAAAAAAAAAAAAAAAAACTAACAAAAACCCACAAAAGATCCGTTGATCCGGTGCAAGGAAAAGCAAAAAAAAGAGCAGCAAAACGGGTTTGGAAGGATTATCCGACCCGAAACGGCGGACCCACTTTCCCCTTCACCTAAAAAAATCTCTTTTACAGGTTTTTTCTTATGTTCCTATGGTGTATGTATGGTGTGTGTGTGTGTGTGTGTATTTGGTGTTGTTAATATGATTTGTTTGCATTTCCAAGAACTTTCTTTTATCAATTAGCCCTTTTTTTTCTTTTTTTTTTCATATCTTTTTTCATTATGATTTGTTTAGATATGATTTGTATGTATGTAATTTGTTGTTTTTAATATGAATCAATTGCATTTCCAAGAACTTTCTTTTTGCAATTTAGCCCTTTTCTTTTTCATCCCTTTTGATTTTCTTTTTCATCCCTTTTTATTAAAAATTGATTCTTTGTTGGGGGCTAAGAATGAAAAAAAAAAAAAAAAAAGTGGATTTGTCTTGACACCTTTAGGTTGTATTTAGTTCAATTGCTTGGTGAGGTTTTGATTTCTTTATACTTTCTTGATAATGATGGTTCAGTTTTCTTGTATTTTTTGTGTGGATTGCACTGAACCAGAGCAAAGCCATTAATTCTGATCTCAGATTTGTTTATTCTGTTGTCTTTTATTGCTTTAGCTTATTCTGAGAATGGCCCATATGGTTTACCTGCTTTTTTTTTCTTACAACTCATGTATGAAAGTGAACATTCTAAGGTCACTAATATTATGGGCACTTTATTAAAAAATATTGAGGAAAAAAGGGCATAATAAGAGGCTGTTGTTGAGATCAAGTTTTGCTTCTTTTTTTACCATATGAAGATGCTTAATTTTCCCTTTAGAATTTAAATTTTTATGATTGAAAAATTTGAATCTTTCGAAACTGCCTATGTTTTCAGTAGTTGAGATGTTATCAGTGTTCTTCATTTTTAAAAGTTGTAGCTTTCAAGAGAATTTTCGCTCTTTCGGTGTTTGGCAGGTCATAGGGGAAGTGGAGATTGATTGTAACTTATGAACCTTTAAGCCGAAAAAATTCGGCGGGATTGTAAATATTTTAGCCCTTTTCGAAGTGTCACGGTTAGTTATTACTCCCGTTTTTGTATCTAGAATGTCAAGAATGTGACTTCATTTTTTGACTTATGGAAGTTGAAATCATCGCATCTTTTTTCTTTCTTTTGTTGAAAATAAGAAAGTTTGAAAATTTTCTCACATCTTTTTTTGTTCCTAAAATTCTTTCTTTTTGTTTTGTTTTATGTGTTTAAAATACAGACAACCTAAATTTGAACATTTTGTTTACTCTTTACATATATGTACCAAGCTTCAGAAATGATAAAAATCAAAAAGCTGTGTATTAATTTGTTGCAGAGAGATTTTGGTACTGAGAATTATCATAATGGGTGGTTGTATATCATCATCATCATCAGCTAAACCAAGCAAACCATTCAAAACCATCAAAGTAAAGAGAAAACGGCGTATTCGCTCCACAAGGCGCCACCTTTTTTCTGTCACTGATGGAAGCAGAAAAAGGAACAGTGACTCGGGGGCCCGAGTTTCAGATTTTTCAGTTAGTGAGCTTGTTCATAAAACGACTTTTTGCAGAATATCCGATGGCTCGAATTCAACGTACCACTTTTCTCAACTCCAATGGCACCACCATAGCCAAATTGATGACAATGGTATAATCTCTCTCTCTCTCTCTCTCTCTCTCTCTCTCTCTCTCTCTCTCTGTGGACATGCCATTTAGTGTGTTTCTAGAATTAGGAGAAGGATTTCACATTATTTTATTTTTTTGGAGATGCATTTCACAACTGTGATCGTTAAATTCTTATATTAATGTAGTCTTGGCGAATAAAATTATTTAACTTTATTATTTAGAATATTACTAGCTCGGTTCACTTGATAATATGATTGAATACATATATTACCTTGTTTTACAGGAATTTGCCAGGAAGAAGCATGGTTCGACACACTGAGCATACTAGATTCCGACTCGGATGATGAATTCAGTAGTGTTCATGGAGGTAAAGAGTATAACTTTCCTTTTTATTTTATTTTATTTATTTTCAGGTTAACATATGGATATTAAATAAAAAGGCAATATTTCACATTTTCGAAACACCAAAAAAAAAAAGAAGAAACTGATTGTACTCTTTATGTTTGTCGAAAAAATGAAATTTGATGCATCTACAGTAAAGTCTATTCCATTTCACATATAGGTTCTAGAATTTTATTTTGAACTATACTTTTTTTTTTTTTTTTTTTTCTAACTTGTATTCTGTTTTAATACCCTGTAGAATTCTTTCCTAGCATTTTGAACGGTCAAGTCCTTCCTTATGAAACCTCATCACGCATTGTGGAAAACAGCAAAGAATATCACGATAAGTATCTGAAAACGGACAATAATAATGATGAATCTTGCGCCAAAAGGAAGAAAAACTTGGATCGAGCCCATGTGAGTTTTAATAATAATGGATCAAAAGATGAAAAAAACGAGCGTATGGAGAAGGCTTCAGAGAGCTTACTGAAGTCTGTCTTGCCGAAGCTCGTCCCGTCTGTAAGTTTCAACGATAAGACCAATGTGGGCCCACAGGCCCAAAAGAAAAATTCGGCCTTTATCCGTCTTTCTTTCAAGAGGAAATCTGTCGATGGTAGCGAAAAAAACGAAGCATGTGAGTGCCTTCTCTGGTATCAGTTTTTTTTTTTTTTTTTTTTTTTTTTTTTTTTTTTTTTTTTGAGGTGCATCGACAAAATATGTTTATCGCCCGAGGGCTGGACTGATGATTCCATGTTGTGCTGAAGAGAAGCTGACTTTTGGAACTTGGTCCAAGATTGAGCCCTCGACTTTTAAGCTTCGTGGGGACAATTATTTCAAGTATGATGAACTATCTTTTGGCGACAGTAAAATATTTTCCATTTATTACAAAAATGATCCTATTAAGCAAAATAAAAAAATCTGATTTTGAACAAGATATGGAGCTTCTGATCCTAGAAATGGTAGTCTCTATAATTATCTCATAACTAAAGTTATTTGCAGCTGTGTAATTAAAATATTTTTTTCTTTGCAGAGACAAAAAGAAAAGCCCTGCATCAAATGCCACTCCTTATACTCCGTTTGGCGTAGATTTATTCACATCTCAAAAAAAGCTTAACCACATTGCGCAGCACCTCGAGCTACCGACTATAAAAGCAGAAGGGAAATTGCCTCAAATGCTAATTGTTAACATTCAGGTAATTAGTTCTATTATCTGAATTTGTTCTAAATGCTAATACGTATCTTATAATTAGTTAGTGATATAACATACGATTAATCATGTATTGTGTTCGTTTTCTTTTGCTAGTTGCCTACTTATCCGGCACCTATGTTTCTTGGTGATGGTGATGGTGAGGGCTTGAGCCTCGTGCTATGTTTCAAACTTTCGGAGAATTTTGAGAAAGATGTATCTCCTCAATTTCAGGACAGTATCAAGGTAATATTCCCGCTCGAAATGGGGTTTTTTTGGTAACGACAGTTAATTTTTCGAAAAAATAGTTCAGTTGTTCATGAGATTTTGAGTTTATATTAAAATAATACGTAAAATAAGATAATTAATTAAAGTACATTTGATGTAAAAATAGGAGAGAGATGAATAATGTGAGTGGATGAATATGAATTAAAGTTGATATGATTTGTAAGAATGGTTAAATGATATTATTTAATTATATTAATAATATTGAGGATAGTGTGGTTGGATTAAAAATTGAGTTAGATTTTGAGTATGATTCGAGTATTGATTGAGTTTATGTATAAACAAACACCCTTAGTTTCTGCCTAGTAAGAAAAATAAGTGATTTTAATTGGTGAACATCTGAATTATTTTGAACAATTTTTTTTTTTTTT